CCCAGTTCTAGTCCAACACCTACACTACAATGGCACACTGCAGCACTCTCTCCTCTCTTCTACATGTAGGCTCTTTCCTTGTCACACTTTCTCCTTTCTTTCTCCTTCCTAACTTCTTCCTAAGAGTTCTGCCTAAACGGATTCCATTGTTTACAGCCTGGTTGTCCTATGCATAGATAAAGAGAGGTTATTCCCCAGTAAATATTTTGGTGATTGGATTATTTAAGAAGTCTTCTGTACATTTAGTTGGATCATCCTCATGCTTCAGGACTTACTAAAAGGAGTTGGACCTAAGGAGTCATGATTTCAGTTCCCCTCCAAGCATGATCTAACCCATTTTCCGTAAGATAAACAAATGCTCTTTAATAACTTGTCAGATTTGTAGCGTTTTTTTCAATCTCCTCTTCCTAGCTACGGTAAGCTGTACTAAGGTGAGGCTCCATTGTCTTAGAAATCTTGTGTATGATGCCAGAATTTAAAAAGAGGCATATTTATTTACTGTGTCAGTCTTATCTTGGAAGTGGGATGGGCAACTAGTTTTGAATTTAGTCCAATATACATCTTACTTGTTCTACAAAGAGCTCCCATAAAAAGTCCGTAGGTCTGAAGAAAAGCAGTAGGGTAGGCTCAGGGGTCAAAAAAGAAAACCCCAAAGTCAGGTGACACTTTAATGCATTAAATGCAGGAATGAATAAATATATGCTTTCAAGAAATGCAAATAAAACGCATATTGTAAAACTACCGTCTTGTGTATATTTTGACTGCAACTACCCGGTATTTTTTTCTTAAAATTGAAGTGAAAGTGTACCAAACCTAGCAACTCAGAGATAACTTGTTGATTTAAGCCATTTTTTGCTTGCATAATACACTGAATCACCATCTAACCAAACATGTTAGGTTCACATAAAATGATTAAATTTGCCAAGCTTAATAGGTTGTGTGAACACAGCTGCTAAGCCTGTAACTGACTTGGTTAAATGACAGGAGTGAATCCAAATATTTGTCATTCAGTGGGGTATTTTAAAAAATGGTTAGAAGTTGAAATAGTAACCAGAAATTCCATAATATTTCCGAAGTTAATCTTATGCAAAATTCACTCATCATTCTTAAATGTATGCCATCATGAATCATTTTCATCTGTTAACTTCTTTGTTTCTAACCTTATTCTTTTCAAGTAACCAGCCCTAACATTATGCAATAGGGCTATATGAAACTATGATCCGAAGGTTCATTTTTAAGGCAATTTGATAGAATCACCCATTCGAATCACATTCATTCACCAGATGGATTTGACTTGCTGAGTTAGATCAGGTACCTTCAAATGTGTCTGCTGATTCTGATAGCCTTTTTCATAGGTATCCACAACCAGTTGTAAATCAACTTATTCAAATGAGGCCTCATCTGATTAGCACCTCCTATTCTCCAGACTATTGGGTAATTCCTTTCAGCAAAGCAAAGGGGTTCCTAAAAATTCAGCCAAGTATCTAAGGAAGTCACAAGCAGCTCATGGCCGCAGCTCGGCCACGCCAGCTGAACATCTTGGAGGTGCCCAGTTAAATTAATTGGTGATAGAGACAGGGCAGAAAAAGTGACTCTTCAGTTCTAATAGTCACTTGCTTAGATTGCTTGAGAAAATATTTGGACAAATTAACAGAGATTAGCCATGATAACAATTAGTGGCCATGTCAGTTAAATGGAGTCTTCAAAGCTAGAGGTGATATACCTTTTGATATCTAGTGTGCTGATGGAAAAATTAAATGTGTAGCCTTTCCGTCCCACCAACAGTCTTCTGAAACACATCTGGGTTAGAAGCTGAAGGCTGGTCTCAGTGAATTTTTATTCTTCTCCCAAAGAAGTTTTCTTAGCTTGTTCTCTGAAAGGGAAGGAAAGGCCATCAGGATACATGCAGAGATTTTCCACCATTGCCCTGTGAGGCAAATATGATTTCACCAGTGGGATGGCATGCCATCACACAGAGACTCTTTCTCCCTCTGTCCCCCGTTCCTTAAAATAGGCCATGGAAAAGAACGATTTTGCCTTCCGTTTAAAAGCAGCCCCCTTTCACTCATGCTTAAGGCAGAGAAAGAGTGGTTCCATGCCATGTGTTTATAGATTAAAAGAGACTTAAGCCAAAACACACACATTACCTTTCCTTTAAAAAGAGAGAGAGAGAGAGAAGGAGAAGAAGGAGAAGAAGGAGAAGGAGGAGGAGAAATTCTGATTGCAGATAACCGCTCAATTTGATTTAGTGTCGAATGATTGTGATGGGGTTGATAACTCGGCATTCATCAGTAATTCATCTTCTCTTGGTAGAAATTTACCGCAAAGCAGAGCTTTTCCATCCCTGACAACTTCTATTAATCTTCTTCAGACACATTTCAATAGGTGTCTCCATCTCAGCCCTTCATCTAAACACTTGTGAGTGTTGCCAGAGACCGGGAGGTGCCTTTATTTCAGATTCCACAAGGAGAAACGATGGAAGAGGGAACTTTGCTGGGCT